AGCGTAGCAGTTTACCTCGAGAGTCAATCAGCGTTAAGTGTAGCAGTTTACCTCGAGAGTCAATCAGCGTTAAGTGTAGTAGTTTACCTCGAAAGTCAGTCAGCGTTAAGTGTAGCAGTTTACCTCGAGAGTCAGTGTGAAGTGTAGCAGTCTACCTCGAGAGTCAATCAGCGTTAAGTGTAGCAGTTTACCTCGAGAGTTAGCGTTAAGTGTAGCAGTTTACCTCGAGAGTCAATCAGCGTTAAGTGTAGCAGTTTACCTCTAGAGTCAATCAGCGTTAAGTGTAGCAGTTTACCTCGAGAGTCAGCATGAAGTGTAGCAGTTTACCTCGAGAGTCAATCAGCGTTAAGTGTAGCAGTTTACCTCGATATTCAATCAGCGTTAAGTGTAGCAGTTTACCTAGAGAATCAGTCAGCGTTAAGTGGAGCAGTTTACCTCGAGAGTCAATCAGCGTTAAGTGTAGCAGTTTACCTCGAGAGTCAATCAGCGTTAATTGTAGCAGTTTACCTCGAGAGTCAATCAGCGTTAAGCGTAGCAGTTTACCTCGAGAGTCAATCAGCGTTAAGTGTAGCAGTTTACCTCGAGAGTCAATCAGCGTTAAGTTTAGCAGTTTACTTCGAGAGTCAGCGTTAAGTGGAGCAGTTTACCTCGAGAGTCAATCAGCGTTAAGTGGAGCAGTTTACCTCTAGAGTCAATCAGCGTTAAGTGTAGCAGTTTACCTCGAGAGTCAATCAGCGTTAAGTGTAGCAGTTTACCTCGAGAGTCAATCAGCGTTAAGTGTAGCAGTTTACTTCGAGAGTCAGCGTTAAGTGGAGCAGTTTACCTCGAGAGTCAATCAGCGTTAAGTGGAGCAGTTTACCTCGAGAGTCAATCAGCGTTAAGTGTAGCAGTTTACCTCGAGAGTCAATCAGCGTTAAGTTTAGCAGTTTACCTCGAGAGTCAATCAGCGTTAAGTTTAGCAGTTTACCTGTCCTCAGAATTAAGATTCCATGATGTTGCAGTGTCTGACAAGTTGTGTACGAATGGTATATAATACCGACAAGCTGAGATTAAGACACGTGTGCAACATCTGGGTATCTTTATTGTAGACGTTTCGCCATTCAGTGGCTTTATCAATACAAATTCTAGGACATAATGAACATCAAAATGGTATACAATACCGACAGGTTGTTAGGTAAGACACATATGCAACAGTTAGACAACTTTATTCCGAAACGTTTCGCCTACACAGTAGGCTTCTTCAGTCGAATACAGAAAGTAGGCAGGAACAGTAGAGATGTGAAGACGATGTGAAGACATCGTCTTCACATCTCTACTGTTCCTGCCTACTTTCTGTATTCGACTGAAGAAGCCTACTGTGTAGGCGAAACGTTTCTAGGACATAACTTGAAGACAGTAGAACTATGTACAGAAGATGAGGTAATCAGTCCCTCAACCTAGGAGTAGGTGCGAAGAGCACCATAGTCGTGGAGATTCTGAACCAGAAGAAAGGATCCTGGCGCTCATATAGTAACGTCAGGTGTAGCAGACGAGGGCATATTCACTGGTAGGCGGGATTCCCCAGTGGAAGTAGGTCCTTCCCAAAGAGAATTTGTATTGATAAAGCCACTGGATGGCGAAACGTCTACAATAAAGATACCCAGATGTTGCACATGTGTCTTAATCTCATCTTGTCGGTATTATATACCATTCGTACACAACTTGTCAGACACTGCAACATCATGGAATTTTAATTCTGAGGACATGTACATAACCTTCACGGCTACGACAACTACTACTACAACTAACCCATCTCTTTGGGAAGGACCTACTTCCACTGGGGAATCCCGCCTACCAGTGAATATGCCCTCGTCTGCTACACCTGACGTTACTATATAAGCGCCAGGATCCTTTCTTCTGCTTCCACGACTATGGTGCTCTTCGCACCTACTCCTAGGTTGAGGGACTGATTACCTCATCTTCTGTACATAGTTCTACTGTCTTCAAGTTATGTCCTAGAATTTGTATTGATAAAGCCACTGGATGGCGAAACGTCTACAATAAAGATACCCAGATGTTGCACATGTGTCTTAATCTCATCTTGTCGGTATTATATACCATTCGTACACATCTTCATACGGGAGGTTCCTTACACAGTAAATCATTTTAGTCATTCTTCTCTGTATGTTCTCTAATGAGTCTATGTCCATCCTGTGACGTCATACAGTCACTCGGCCTAATAGGGATCTTCTATATAAAGCACATGGATGGTACTATAATACGCTACACAACACATATAAGGGGATCAGCAACTATGCTGACAATTGGGCTCTTCTTCTAGTGTAAACTGGATCGCCGGTTCGTCTGCGTTGAGCCTTGCCTGAAGATTCTGTACATCAAAATGTTTGGGAGTTATTACTAGGACGTCGTCCATGTAACGTAACCAAGTGACGCTTGAAGGGATGATGTTAGCAAAGTGTTCGGACTCTAAATGTTCCATGTATAAGTTGGCTAAGACGGTACTGATGGGGGACCCCATTTCCATGCCGTAGGTTTGTTTGAAGAGTGTTATTGAAAGAAAAGCAGTTGATATTAACACAGAGTTCAGTCAAGTCAACAAAATCTCCGGGAGGTAGAGGAAGATTAAGATTCTGATTGACTTTACGTCGTAGAACCTAGATGGCTTTAGTGGTAGGCACTTTTGTGAGGAGGGAAGTCACATCCAGACTGCTTAGTTTCTTGTTACAGATGGAGAGGTTTCGGATGCGGTTGAGAAGGTCGCCTGAATGTTTAAGATGAGCTGGGCTGATGGTCCCCAGAAGGCAGGAAAGATGTTTGGCAAGAACTCCGGCAAGTTTGTGTGGAGCACTGCCTATACCTGACGTGATTAGTCTGAGAGGAATATTGTGTTTATGGGTCTTGGGTAAACCATACATGTGTGCTGGTTTAGGGTTCGTACTGGTTACTACTTCTACCACTAGTATTGCACCTCACTCTGAGCCTATATATACCCTCTGTGTCCATGTACTGTTTGTAACGGCTTGACAAAGCTCCTGGAGAGCGAAACGTTGACACAATAAAAATGTCACATTAGTTGCACTTGTGTCTTTTTACTTTACATATTGTCGGTAATTCTACCAACTTTATTACAATATGTCTGTGCCTGTTGTTTATAGTGTGGCTATGTCTGTTGTTTATAGTGTAGCTATGTCTGTTGTTTATAGTGTGGTTCTGTCTGTTGTTTATAGTGTGGCTATGTCTTTTGTTTATAGTGTGGCTATGTCTGTTGTTTATAGTGTGGGATGACCCCCGTATCTAGGGTATGGGATGACCCCCGTGTCTAGGGTATGGGATGACCCCCGTGTCTAGGGTATGGGATGGCCCCTGTGTCTGGGATATGGGATGACCCCCGTGTCTAGGGTATGGAATGACCCCCGTGTCTAGGGTATGGGATGACCCCCCGTGTCTACGATCTCTCTATAGAATATTTAAGGCTCGTGAAAGGGTATTTTTGCAGTTCTTAATGAACACAGAGTTCCAAGAGTCTAGGTCTGGGGACAGAGTGCATAAGCATGTTGTCGATGAATTTTTCAAAGTCCATTGGAGTTAGGGTTATATCAGAAATTTGGCATGGTCTCAGACCGGGCCGCGGGGGCGTTGACCCCCGGAACTCTCTCCAGGTAAACTCCAGGTAAACTGCTGAGGGCGCGCAATAGGGGTTTCTTGCAATTCTTGATGAACACGGAGTTCCATGAGTCTGGGCCTGGGGCAGAGTGCATGGCCATGTCATTTATTTCCTCTTCAAAGTTGACAAGATTTTGAGTCTCGTTCCTGAAGAACTGATTTGGATTGGCGATCTTTAGTCTGATTAATGACTTGCTAAGCGTAGTGCTATTGAGACTTCAGTATCTCATTCTTTTTTTGTTGTTGTCATCTGTATAAGTCCCATCTTGTTTAAGCCAGGTCCCGGTATTGGATGTGGTTTTTGCCTTGTTTTTGGCATATGACAAGAAATATTTTGGATTTCTTTCAGTTTCATTAATTGCTTATAGGTTCTTCTGTCTCCTGGATCCGTATGATTAATTTGACTTAGGTTTAATATTTTCTATTTCCCTGGTCAGTGTTTACTTCAATATTTCAGATAATTTAGTCCCCCTTGAAGTCAGTGGTTCTTCGTCTTCGTCTGTAGAAAAAGCGTGTCTCTTTCTAGTTTACATCTCTTCTTTTGCCTTAGGGGAATGCGCCTTGAGCATACTTCAACTGCCACAAAGTTGATCCTTTCAAGACACTGGATCAGATCCATGTTATTTAAGATATCATTACTATGATTTATTTGATCAGAGTTGATGTTATTGTTAAAGCTAAATTTGATGAAGACACACTCGTAACTGTATGCATTTTGCTGGTCAGGACTCGTGTCCATACAAGTTTGGACTTCGATTACGTTGTGATCCGAATTGTCTATGATAATGTTATGCTTCGTACCAGGTCATCATTATTTTTGAAAATAAGGTCGTGTGTTTTCCAGTCTTGTTGGCTCCACTGTTTGTTGGCTTTGGGTGAATTTATTACAAAGATTCAACATCTCAAATGTGTGAAAATTTTCATCCGAGCTGCCTCATGGGGTTGTCTCTGGTATAACATTATTTGCTACGTTCTTCCATTTTATATGTCTTAAATTGAAATTACCAATCAGCAAGATAGTTGGGGCTGGGGTTGAGAGAGTTTCCAGACAGTTATCCAGTTTCAGTAGCTGTTCCTTGAACTATTTGGAAGTTGAACCTGGTGGCTTGTATACAACCACAATGACAAGGTTTTGGTTCTCAGTCATTACTGCCAAAACTTCAACTACATCATCTGCGATGCTTAGTAACTTTGTGATAATGACCGACTGTTGGATATAAGGATAACTTCTCCGCGTTTAAGTTCACTTAGTTTATTCACTGGTATTTTTGTTTTATTAGTTTGTACATGCACACAAACCCACCAGCATCACCACCAGCACCACTACCACCACTACTACCATCACTACTACCATCAGCACTTACTTATCTCTCCTGGTTCCACTACCACTTCCATGGGAACACACTGGAAGTAACACTCTGGTGGAGGTTCCAGTGACCACAACTTCCTGCCACGGATCTGAGCTTGCCAGGATGGGTTCCCAACATGATCGATCTGAAGAACACCAACACATAGCATTTAAAAATAGTAGCTAATGTTTTGTTAATGAACATATGAATGTGAAACTGAATCCTGTTAAAAAAATGGGCTCTGGTAGGATTGCTGATATTTTTTGTCATGTGAACACCTAAGATGACTGGGAAATATTTCTCATGTGAACACCTAAGATGATTGGGAAATCTTTCTCATGTGAACACCTAAGATGACTGGGAAATATTTCATCATGTGTTGGAAACACTAGAACTAAGATGATGGGAATCTTTCTCATGTGAACACCTAAGATGACTGGGAAATCTTTCTCATGTGAACACCTAAGATGACTGGGAAATCTTTCTCATGTGAACACCTAAGATGACTGGGAAATCTTTCTCATGTGAACACCTAAGATGATGGATAAAGATTTCTGTCTCATGAACACCTAAAAGAAGACAGATAAATTTGTCTTATGAACACTTTTACCTGAGTCCTTAATAGTTCTTACTCCTGTAATATTTTCTTTCCAGCTTGTAGGATAATTAACAGATAATTAACACTATAGTATCGATACAAACATTAATTTAGGGATGGGGTCTACTCTTTTCGTAATTAACATAGATATAGATACCTAGTTTTGCAGTGCTTACAACCGACAGTTCTCGGGTTAAGATTTTGCTGGGATTTTTAACCCCGGAGGGTTAGCCACCCAGGATAACCCAAGAAAGTCAGTGCGTTATCGAGGAATTGTCTGTCTTATTTCTATTGTGGTCCTTCAGTCTTGTCCCCCAGGATGCATCCCACACCAGTCCACTGACACCCAGGTACCTACTTGCTTGCTAGGTGAACGGGGAAGCAGGTGTAAGGAAACACGCCCAGTGTTTCCGCCCTTGCCGGGGATCGAACCAGGGGCACTCAGTGTGTGAAGCAAGAGTGTTGCGTACCAGGCCACGGGCCACCCTGGCCATCAGGCAACCCTGAGCGAGGTGGGACATATGGGCAAGTCTTCTAATACCTTTTGTTATTGCCTGGATGTATGTGTATTGTTGTGGGTGGCATCCTGGATAAGAGGACCTAAGGATCACAGTGAAAATAAGCCACACTGATTGGTTTTCCTGGGTTATATTGGCTTTAAGGTATCCCGTAGCTGGGTTGGTAGCGCACTCAGCTCACACACTGAGGTCTGTGGGTAGATCCCCGGTACGGATGGAAACATTAGGACGTGTTTCCTTAAGGTACCTGCTGTCTATGTTCACCTAGCAGTAATATAGGTACCTGGGTGTTAAGTCGCCTTACACCTGCTGTCCATGCTCACCTAGCAGTAAAACAGGGACATGGGTGGTAGCCAACTAGTGTGGGTCGCATCCTGGGACAAAATTGTCTTAATTTGCAGGAAATACTCTGCATAACAAGGGGTTTTCTATATAATAGTATGTCATTAATGTTAGCTATGGTGTGTATACCTTGTACACAACGCTCTGCATACACGGGGCTTTTGGCATGTTACACTTAACCACTGTATTTCTTTATTATTATTATTATTATTATTATTATTATTATTATTATTATTATTATTATTATTATTATTATTATCATAGCGTGTCAGCGTGCCTCGTTGTGCTCCCGGTTTTTCTGGTGTTTTCACGGTCGCTCTTACGTGCTAGAACTTTAATTTGTGTCATCAATCCTATACGATACATCCCTCTAGCGCCTGGAACCAATCTTGGGCGGAAAACTTTATATACTGAGTAAAAAAAGGAGAATTAGTGTGCACTTCCTAGCAGAGTTTACTGCCAGAGGGGAATCATAGGCCTGTCCCGTGTGGAAAAATAATAATATTGAACTTTGTGTCAGAGGAAAGAAAGTCTCCCTGAAAGCATTGAGTATACATAGTGTATACTACAGTGGCTCCCTAGTATATTGATGATAAAGGCTAAAGTGTCATTTGAAAACAGGTGAATTTGTAAATGAAGTGATAAGCCTATAGAGGCAGGTGCCAGAAGTCTCCAGAAACTTACCACAGGTCAGCTGTTTTTAATAATCTTCCTGGCCTGCTAGTGTACTCGCATATAATCTAGTGATACCAGTGAATAGCAGAATACAGTGTTGTAGTAGCAACTAACCAGTATTATAATGGTACTTAGTGAAGTGGAGTGACTTTCATTAGTTTCTTTTTCTTGAAATACCAGACGTTACTGTGAATTTCATATAACCTGTAGTTACCAGCGGTCGCAATATACACAACGAGAAGCAATTATTACTACAGAAAAAGCGTCCTTCCTCCAAAATTTTGCACAGTCAACTATAGTGATAATATAGCATTTATTGTGGTGGAGACGGAAAAAAAAAATAGAGAAGCTAGATACAGCGATTGATAAAACAAAGGTGGAGGCTCGACCGTTCGTCATTGTAGGATTTGCCAGCAGTCACCGGCTCTTCAACACGCAAGTTATACTTTTGTATCAATCAAATCACATATTACTCGGGTAGATAATTTCCAGTAGATCCTTCATGTGTTAGCTCAAATCACCGACCAGTATGGTTTAATAAGTGCCCCACTGTCAGATCAGATAGACTGGTCCGAACCCTTGACTGGTCCGAACCCTTGACTGGTCCGAACCCTTGACTGGTCCGAACCCTGGACTCGTTTCAAACGGTTTCGTTGTGCACCCACTAGCAGGTTATTAATAGAATATTCAAGAGGTTGCTAGTAGAATTGCAGTAAATCAACCATTCAAATCATTATGAAGCTGTGTGTAGTCTGTGGTCAGTCAAACAAACGGGCTTCCACATGCTTTAAATTGTCATTTTTGTGGAAATTGGTGTCACGCCCCTTGTGCAGATATCCAAGAACTAGCTACAAGCAGTATTAAAACAGGGAAGTGTTTTTGGGTATGCCCAAATGAGATAAATCTGTGGACTAAAATCACAAGGGTATTAAAAGAGGTCAACATCAAAGCTGCTTTCATAGAAAACCTGGAAGCTTTCTACAACAGATGGAACATAAAAAGTCCGGGCTGAATGGTACTGCCCTTGATACTGGCCATGTAGTCAGAAACTGTAAGGCTGGAGATGATGTCCTGGTAGTCAGTAAATGGGGGGCTGATAGTGCTGTCCTGGGAGACAGTAATGGGGAAGCTGGAGGTGCTGTCCTGGGAGACAGTAATGGTGAAGCTGGAGGTGCTGTCCTGGGAGACAGTAATGGTGAAGCTGGAGATGCTGTCCTGGGAGACACTAATGGGGAAGCTGGAGATGCTGTCCTGGGAGACAGTAATGGTGAGCTGGAGATTTTGTCCAGGTAGTCGGGAATTATACGCAGGAAGGAATACATATGAATGACCGCATAGGGACAGGAGCCATAGTAGGGAAACAAGTGTAGTCAAAGATAAGATAAAACCAATATTGCAAACTAGAAATACCGCAGGAAATAGCAAACAAGAGGACTCCACTAGCAATAGTGAGGATATATTACCAAAAACAAATGGTGGGAGCTCCATTGTTGGTGCTAGGGAGGATAGAAGTAAGACAGGGAAACATGCCCCAACAGGGAATACAGTCACAGAAACCCAAGGCAAACGGAAACCAAGCCTGTGCACTACTATGCACTCGGTATCTGCTGGCATGGGAAATCTGGGAAAAACAGATGGGACGTGCAACTATGACCACCCTAGGAAATGCCATGCCCATATGACAACAGGAAAATGCAAACTCCCTTCCTGTAAGCTTTTTCACCCTGAACTGTGTACCCTTCAGTACAGGAAAGACTGTGCTATAACTTAAATTCCCGGCATACCATCTAAAGGGGACAAAAAGATACAAAACATCCAGGCCATGGGAAAACCTGGGTAGCCACAGCCACTCAAGAGGGAGAGGTTTTTTTAGTGCCAGGAAGGAAAAAAAACTGGCAGGAAATGGCAGAAATCGTACACCAAATCCAGTCATTCCTGGAGTGGAACCACAGTCGATGGCCTCCACTCCAAACCAACAGATACAGATACTAATGCCGGAAAAAAAATCCCCCCCCAGTACCAACAATACCACCAGTCCGATAACATTCTTCTTTGCAAATATACAGGGTCTAAAGCCAGCAACAAACAACAAAATACCTTTCATCCGTGGACTGCTTGCAGAGGCAAAGGGAATGTTCGCGGGTTTCACTGAGACCCACATAAAGGATCACTTGGACAACGAAATATGGATCCCAGGTTACAACCTATACAGATGTGACAGAGTGAACAGGCAAAAGGGGGGGGGGGGTTGGCCTGTACATTGCAGAGTCACTTGTTTGCACAGAACTGCTAAATGCCTCAAATGATGTAGTGGAAGTTTTAGCAGTAAAGGTCGAGAACCAAAACCTAGTCATTGTGATAGTCTACAAGCCTCCGGATGCAACATCCCAGCAATTCCAGGAACAGCTGTTAAAAATTGACCACTGTCTGGAAAACCTTCCAGCTCCTGCACCCAACATCTTGCTCCCGGGGGATTTCAACTTAAGGCACCTAAAATGGAGGAATATAGCAAATAATATTGTTGCAGTAATAACACCAGGAGGCAGCTCTGATGAAAACTCACACTCACGCGAGCTTTTAAATCTCTGCACAAAATTTAATTTAAACCAGCAAATAATAGAGCCTACTAGACTGGAGAATTAACTAGACCTCATCTTCACTAACAATGATGATCTGATAAGAAATATCACCATATCAAAAACAATATACTCAGATCACAACATAATTGAGGTTCAGTCATGTATGCGCGGAGCCCCAGACCGACATAATGAGATTAGTCACGAGGGAGCATTCACCAAATTCAACTTCAATAACAAAAACATAAAGTGGGACCAAGTAAACCAAGTCCTAACCCATATAAGCTGGGAAGATATACTAAGCAACACAGACCCCAACTTATGCCTAGAACAGATTAACTCGGTAGCACTCGATGTATGCACAAGGCTTATTCCTCTAAGAAAAAGGAGGAGTAGATGTAAAACAGAAAGAGACAGGCGCTCCCTTTACAGGCGA